TCCGCAATAGTAACAATTCCAAGTAAATCAAGCAGGCGGGGATCGGCAGCGAAAAATCGGGCTTACAGGTGTTGGGTCATGTTGTGTAAATGGAAGTCGTGCAGCACATTAATGTATGCCAAATGCACCTCTGTAGGGGCATCTCTGGAGGAGCTGATTTCTCTCCCTGGTAGCAGTGTGCATCCTCTGCCGGGCAGCGGTGGTCAATATGGTTGGTCGTCGTTGCTGCTTCCGCTTGTTGTACCCGTCAGGAACTGGCAAGTAAGGGTGTTACCTTTTGTGTTACCCTGTTCGGAACCGTGTTTTTTTCATGGTTGTGGAAGTTAGGACTGCTGTGCTGCAGTTTGGCAGCTGGTGTATGACAATTGCCTTGCTGTTGCTCCTGTTGCCCCTGCACTCTCTCCAGTACATGCGCGACGTGTGGTGTGGTGCTGCTGCTGTGTTATAACCGGCATAACGGTGCAAAGATGCATAGAAAAAGCTTTCGTTGTGGATTCGCTCAACAGCGGGCGGGTGCTTTTGTTTTTGGTTGTTTGTTCTTCTTCCATCATTGGACGCTGTCGTCCGCCCCTTTGGCCCCTATCCTCCACTTTTACCAGCTAGACGACCCAACCGGGGTCACATGGGAGGGGGGGGTTGGACCCCCTCCTGCGGTTCCTGTCTGAGATATTTTTTTCGCGAGAAGGGTACAGCAATCCCTTCCCTCTCGACTTATGAAGTCGATCAAGTTTACTAACGACGAGCTTTGCAGCGCGTCGCTTCCAACGGCTATGAGGATTTAATTAGCGATAAAAAACTCACTCTGTCGGGACTCGCACCCATGACCTGGCCCTTAGCAGACTGCGAGGCGACCCACTAGACCACCGGGGCGACCGGTGTGTGTCCCGTCAAAAAGAGTTAACTACAGATGGTTTCGACATCGCGGGCTACCTTCCACGGCAAGAGTAGGACCGTGCGCCGGGTCCACTACGACCGGGACGAGCCCTTTTGTAGCCCTTTCCGTCGGTTAGGTTGCCTCCTTCCCTCTCTCTCCCGCCTAGCGATTGGTGTTGTTTTTTTCTTTTGTACGACGAAATCTCAAACGCTTCTTTGGGATCCGCGGTCGTGCAATAGTCATCCGCCGTTTACTACCAGTGATGAAATGAATTTTGGGATCCGGTACTACCACGTACAAGTAGTAATGATAATTTGACTTCCGGGCTCCGCGTGGAAAATTAGTTTTCAGGCACCGGTACTACATCTACGATCATTGTAATAACAAAGCTCCGCCAGTTGTTTTTTAGGGCCCGCCCGGTACAATCCGCATAGCCCATCCCTTGCCCGACCGGGTCTCGAAAGCCGATCTCGAGCTACGGCGCACGCATGTCTTGCGACGCTTGAGGCACGACTCGGCGTGGAATCGCGAATCATTAATCCTCTCCCAGTGCCAGCAGCTTCTGTTCGCTGCAGCGGTATTATTTTGTCACACGTATCGCACGATCATGTTATTATTGGTTTGTATCTTCTATTGTGGCCGACGTTGAGCTGTGTTTCTTAGCCCTTTCTTCGTGTTTTCCGTATGAGCCTATTTTTCTATTCCGAATTTTTGTGAATTGCGGGCGCTACCTGCAGTCCACTCGCCGGACAGCTGACACACTCGGGCATCACAACCGCGTGTGATGAGCAGATTGCCCTTGCAAAACACGAAAGACGTGCATTCTGGAGCGTTCTCATGGGTAGGCGGGTGTCAAATCTCTTTCGCTCGGTAGTGTTTGCCTTCTTCACGATTATCGAAATGCCACTGCCTGAATCAACGGTACACCTGTGGGTTCTTCACGTAATGCGTACATCAGGAGGTACATGATGACTCCGTTCACCTCTTCCGTGCTCATACCTGAAACAAGCACCAAACACAATCCCGCTTGGGACTAGCAACGCCCACAATATTCGTCGGTTGCTTCAACGACATTAAATTTCCAAGGAGGTTTCACCCGTGTTGTGTGGCCGCCGGTGTGTGCGTGTGTGCGTGTGCAACAAAGCTCGTTATGCCTCCACGCGATCGCACGAAAACACACCTTTTTGACGCCCGGGGCAAATAACAGTGCGGTATGAAAAATCCATGTTGACGATCAACCACAGCGGTTGTCTGCCGCTAGGAACAGTACCAAGGCTCATCTCGGGAATTTTCCCGGGTTACTATTCCCGCGGGAGTTCCACGAGCATGGTAATTAGTAACGTTACCGTGAAAAATCGCAGTTACCATTTCTTTGTTACTCCCATCCTAATCGTTTGCAAGGATATCATATCCCGTTGTTCCCACCCAATCGACTACCGTGCAAAAGTATCGAGATACCGTGGACCCTTGTTGCCACCCAAGCAATCACGGCTTAAACTTTCAGGTACCAAACCGTACGGCAATTTCAAGCCAAGCGCCCGGTAGGTCATGGGTTCGATGCTCCCTGTGCGTCTTTTGTTTCTTTCCTCGATCAAACCTTTGGATATCCTCTTTTTTTTGTTTTAACCAATTTTGGTTTTGCTGACACCGCAGGATAATACGCTTGTGCTGTAGCTCGATCTAGCTCGAAATGCTTGTGCGTAATAGCTGGTGAATCAGTTATTTGTCGTTTCGGCATGTTGTAGTTGTATGCGTCGTCTCGCAGTTGAGTTCGTTGCGTTCAGTCCTCACCTAACTAAGTAAGTCCAGCGATCAAGTGATTGGCTGTATTTCGAGGTGTAGCTCTGGAGGTGATCCGTTTTCCTTCGTCCTTTGCTTGTAAGACTAAGTACAGGTATATTTATTTCTGTCCTCAAGGCGTCAGGAATTATCTTCGGCTGTCAGAAAGCTTTGCACTGATTCTCTCCAGCTGTCGGGCCCGTCGTGCCTGTCGTGTCAAACAGCCCGGCAGAAGACGTCAGCTTCAACAAACATATTACGTACGCGGTGCAGCTGTTTCTGATCTGTTGTTGAACCATGCGTCAGCATGCCAACAACAGCTGAGGGTTGGCCCGGCAGCTGTCAGAGCGGCCGGGCAGCGAGGGTTTACGTGTCGGCGGGGCACGTGAGGGGAAGAGCATACATTAGAGTTCCCAGCGTATATACTGCAAGACGGTGACCGAAGCATCATGGTGTCGTGAGGTTGTGTACCCCAATGATATTGTGGCAATCATACTTGACGTGTTGAGGAGAGGGGTCAGTTTGAACAGTCTCCCGTAAGACGTCACTACCACAACCGCTGTGCACAGCTGCAACCGAAAATGTAAGCGGTAACAGCTGTGTCTGCTGTGTTGGTACATACCAACAAGTTGCTGGCCACGTAAAAACGTCAGAGGAGAGATCAGGTCGCACATTGTACTGCTGTAGCGTACCCAGCAACTGCGATTTGTCTTTTTGTAACAGAAAACACAGTCGGTTTGAGGAACCGCCCCCCGTGTCGACAGGATGCAGGTCGCATTTTTTTTGTGTGTGTTCAGTTCACTTGAGTTCAGTATACGGCGGAGACGTTGTGGACTGACTGGTACTGTCTTATCCCGCCTCATTCCTACCGGGATTGAAGACAAACTATGATGCTTCGTTCGCACGCTGGGTAGTGGGTGTGTGTCTGCATGGAAAGCACCACCGCTTGGCCTTCAACCAACTCAAATCCACAAAATTGAAACATAGTCAAAGATTGACTACAACATTAATGTTTTGCAGCCAAGTTCCTACAGAAGGATCGTTCTATCGAAGGAAAAGCTCGCCGAGCTAGCTCCCCGAGTAAGGTGCAAACCTCTGTATGCACACATCTGTTTTCCCTCTGTCTGCTTGTTGCACTTACATCACCACTCTGGAGGGATGCATTGTAGTCTCAAATACCTGAAAAAAGGAACTTAACGCGTTCGTGTGAATTCGTTTCTTATGTGGAACGCATTGTTCGCATAGCTCTCGCCAACACGTAACGATAAACCTCGGCATGGGCCCCGCGGGGCTGGCTCGATAGACAAGGCACAAACTGAAACATCCGTAGTCATACTGCTTGAACGATATGGGAAAACAGTGGTTGCGCCATGCTTTCAGCGCGCGGATGTAGGGAGAGTCAACGGACCAGATTGGATATTCACCCTGTCGATGTGTACATGACACCGCCACTTTTTGCTCGTTGAGCCACGACGGTCATGATTTCACAGCTCTCGGCAGTGGTTGGCGATGTTCATGCTGCGTTTTCTTTTTGGGTGGTGCGGTTCGTTTCGCACGTAACGTTCTGAGATGAACAAATCCGCACCGCGTCGCGGGGATTCGAAAGGAACCTCGATGAAGTTTATCGCGGTGCCATTTGTTCTAGTCCGTGGCCAAAGCGCGGTTAAAACCACAGGAAGTCCCGTTGTTTCCACGCAGTCGCACAACAGGAAAGGCAAAGCTTCGTCTACCCACGCTGCTCGTGCGGGGGAGCAAGGACTTGTCAACGTCAACTCTGTCGGAGTATTGCAGGGGAAATTAGTAACGAGTGCTGACATGAGCCGCCTGGTGGATCCACGATCATTGCACTGTTGTTTTGCGTGTCGGGTTGTCTGGCCGCTATGCGACGGAGGTTGTATTTGGCAGCCTCCATGTACAGCGCAAGGTGCGCACAATTCTACTTTCGATGGACCACAGGACTCGACCAAATGTATTTCACGATAAGTTGTTGGTACTCCCGTTATTTTGTCACGGACGACCGTAATAGTTGGGTGGTTTGCTTCGACGGGGTACCGCCACGAAGGCCGCGGGCGGTTTTGGATCAAGGACGGGAACGATCTGCCATGTTTGTTACCGTGGGATGGGTACATGACGCATTGCACCGTATCGCACCACGCCGAACCGTGATCATGTGAAGAAATTTTAAACGGCATAGCGGTGCCGTTCTACGCCGTTCACATCCGGCAGCTTTACAATGCGTTCCCCTTGCCACGCGATATCTCAAACATGGCCGAGTACACTTCTTCGACTCGCTCATTTCGTTTGTGGTTCCGCTGACGTCTTGTTCAACCCGGACATGGATATGCAGGATATCATTCTCCAAATTATTGGCGATATTGGTGTGGCGGGCGCTACTTACCGCTCTATGGAGTTCGCAGGTTCAGCTTTGGGCCAACTGTCCATGGAAGAGCGGCAGACTCTGTGAGTTTCCCGACACATGACGTGACTCTCTAACGTAGTGCATCTGATGTCCCTTTTTGTTTGTCCATACATGCGGTATGTGGTAGTGTTGTATCGATGTCGGGTGTCAACATTAGTGTGGCCCGAAATACCGCCTGTTTTGGTGATGCGATAATGCGGCAGAGAAGTGTGTACATCTGCCCGAATACGTCCAGTGGCGACCAGGTCGATTGCTCTCGCCGATAGGCCACCTTTGCGTTTTATAGTGTTCCTGCGCAGCTTCGTCAACGGCATGGTGCATGTGGTGAAACCGAGCGCTGTTTTGTTGCGACCCCGGCATGTCTACCCTATTGGGGCAGGTGCAACATGGCAATCGAAGCCGGAGGGAAAAATGGAGTGATTCCTGCAGATGATGTCACTATGGCGTATGTGAACGCCAGGAACGCAGGGAATAGGCCATACGAAATATTCAAGGCCGATCCCAACGTGAGCAGGAGCTGTTCGTATTTTGTGTTTCACATGTGGCGTACGAGTCTGGTGAAAGCTGCTGCTGCCATTTCGTGTTTAGGCTCTGTTCGTTTCGCTGTCTTTTTTCCCACCAACCCGCGGACTTTCATTCCTCGCACGCACCGTTACTAGTTAGCCGTATCGCCACACAAAGTTCGGCTGTGAAAAATGTTACTTTTCGTGGCCTTTAGGCTGGTACACATTTTCTTCATATAGCTGCGGTACAGAAGCAGGCCTGCTTCAGGGGCACAACAAGCTGCATTCCGCGTGCGTGCTCCCACAGGCCAAGTATTTCTCGAAGAAAACGTACGACATGAGCAACCTTGAGCCTGTTGTGGCCAAGCCCCACTCCCCAGACAACAAGGCTTTGGCGAAGGACTGCCGCGATACCAAAATCGACCGCGTCTACATTGGCTCTTGCACTGGAGGCAAGACCGAGGATTTCGCTGCTGCAGCGCGGATACTCCAAAACCAAAAGGTAAAAACTGGAGTTCACGGTCCGGGTGCGTTTGCTAATTCGGCCGACCTCAAGATCGCAATGTCATTGCGGTTCTTGAGACTTGGGCACCGGTGAAACACGATGAACGCCTTGGAGCTGTACCCAAACATGGCGCAAATTTAGTTGTAAGGAAAAGCATGTAGTTTGGGTCCCAGTCGGCCATCGTGACTCGCCAGAAAAGTGCGGCTCCGCTTAGTGTTCATACCACTCGAAGATCCTGACTAATTGCTCGAACGTTTAGACTCTGTTTGAGCATGTTATATGAACCGAGCCCGACGCACGACATGGGGTCCCTTGAGAGGGTATTATGCCCTTGATCTTGGCTTCGGTGACTATGTGCACATTTTGTGCGCGTGGTTGCCTGTGTTCTTCGTTGCGCGAACGGTTGACGACCAAGTATTGCACCGAGCGACTATATCTTGAGTGCCTGCACATCTTGCGGACTGTGTTATTGTGTGCGAGGTGAAAAAGACAACGGCAAATATGTTTGCTCTCGGTGCGCGCGACAGAAAAAAATTAGCTCCGATCGTGAAAAACATGCGATCGAATGCAGTTGTAATTTTTCTGCAAGATTGTGAGACGTTCGCGATTTCAAGCCTTGTCAATAGTATTGCCAACCGAACGAAGGATTCTTCACGACGTGCCGTTTTATTTCTATGTTCGACAAGCGGACAAGCAGGGGAGCAATGCGAGGTGCTAGTAATGCGCGGTTGGTGTCTGTTCCCCTCGGTGATGTTGGGTAGGATATTGTTTTGGGGTAAGACTATTGGTGGCCGGGTGGTTGCTCACAAAAAATCTTGTTGCTTTCTTGAACCGTGGAAACGCGCGCTGGACACTCTCAATCATCATTTGATTGAAGTTTTATTGACAAACCGGCTCCTGAGAGACAACTCGTCATCATGTTCCAGAGATGGTCGGCTTGTTTGGAACTGTTTTGCTCGCAAGGCCAGATGGTATGGTCAACGCCAAGTGCAGCGGTGCGTAGCAATTGTCCGTAATCGAAACGTGATGCATGGCGCTTTGATAGGTGAAGATTCGCATTCGAAACGGAGTAGGCTCATATCGCGTAATTCGACCACGAGTCGGGTACCCACAGCACCAGGCGTATATTTCCATTTTCTGACCCGCCAAGCTGCTCCCCACCTCTTCTCAAGACGGGGTCAACCCCTTGGAAATGCATGTACGCATGTCTTTGTTGTCCCTTGCGAACGATGTCATGTGCGTGGGGTATGTATATTCAGATACAACCACGGTTCCCGGTCGCTTCACCCACTTCATATTTTCTGTGCAATGTCACTACTCACCAGGTTCGGGTACCGACTTTCCTGGTGCCTGCTACTCAAAAGGTTTACAACGATATCCAGACGTTGAAGGTACGTTGCAAATTGCATCGAAAGCGCATGGTCGTTTGAAGTCGATACGTACGTGCACGCAGCCACGCGCCGTATACTTAAGGAAAGGATGGATGTCTTATTGACTGCAACTTATTGAAGCCGGAGTTACGTTTTATCATTGAAATTCGTTGTCTGGCCTTGATTTTTATCCTGGCGGTTTGTCGGACGCCTCTTTCGTCCAGAACGTAGAACTCGATCGATTAAGCCCTGTGTGCGTGCTGTACCCCGCGAGGGATCTTTGTGCGAGATGGTATGCCACATGCAGATAGAGGCAGGGTCGAAAAGTCGAAGTTTGAAGCGTGCGTCGTGCTGCTGTAAATCGACATGAAATCGTTTTTGTTGATTGTGGTTGAACCCTGGCGCACACATGCACACACCATCCCGACTTTCGTGCGTTAGTGCCTGTGATACTTTAGGCAATGACATGGTAGCTGGGATTACCGGGTGCAAAAGCCGTTTGGCTTCGTGGAAATAGGCGGCCGTATTCGGAGTATGCTTCGATGTTCAAAGAGCCAGGTTTTATGCTCAGAATCGGGAAACGTTGTATTTTTACCATTTTTTTATGATACAGTAGGACATGTTTGCCCGTATGCCCGTTGACGGTGGCGGCGTTATAGTCCATACCATGATGCAGACCATGACCTTACTTATCACCTGTATCTTGTCCATGTGGTGGCTTGTACACATACAACAGTAGTGTTGAAGTACCCTCTCCGCCAAAACACCGATGGAAAAAAAAAGGAAAGTTCGGACCTCCGAGTCTTACAAGCAACAGTGCATTGGCTAGCGAAGCTGGCGATTGCAGCGCGCTCACGGTGCTGCTCAACATCTCGGCTCCCGTTTCGGGGTATCGAGCCCGCGACAGCGGGGTTGCAAACGAGAGTGGTCCCATGGTCGTCGCCATGAATAGACAATCGGTCAGCGTCCGCGCGCAAGCAAGCCGAGAGCCTTGTCAGCAGAAGTTGGCCGGAAACTACCCGCTGAGTTGCGTAACGCCCACAATTTCTGACTCAGATTGAGTAAAAAGCTTGTACCTGTTTTGAGCCAAGAGGATGTTTGTCCCTCTATTATTGGTGCACCCACCCAAATGAAACGTCGCAAGCAGTGTTTTCTTTCTTGCTTTGTTGAACCGCCAAATCGACCATCTAAAACATTCATCTAGCAAACAAGTCGCTCTTGCTCGATGTTAGCGTTCTTGTCAGGTACAAGTATGAATACCACGTGGCGTCGAGCTTTCCTAAACATGGGCAGTTCACGGCTTCATGCACCAGTTTGCAAACTTCTGAAACAGGTGAAACGTAGTCCTGATTGACACTCCCCCCCATCTCGTCTTCGCGAGCCAGATCGGTGGACGAACGCTGGGATCAATTTTCCGCGAGGCCGGGTGCTTGGAGCCTGCTTCTCCTTCCTGCGCTGCATGCCTAGGGGGGCCAGCTGACACGTACGCCCGCATGAACGAGCCTTTTCAATGCGTCTCCACCACCAACCGGAACTTCCCTGGACGCATGGGACACAAGGTAGAAATCTCCGAATCTTGGTCGATATCATCCAGATGACACGCATCAAAGTTTTCGATTTTTTTTTTATTTGTTGTGTTCATCTCCCGCGCACAGCAATGCATTCTTTATCCAAGACATATAATCAAGCCCCTTGGGCGTTTGAGTTTTCGGTTGTATCAACTTGACGGCATTAGTACTAAAAACTCTGCCGTCATCGAACGTAGTTACGTGGTCGGTCATGATTGACGAGTTGACGTTCTCCCAAAAAGTCTTGCCCAACCGCCTGTGAAATTAAAGTGACAGTGCTGCGCGCGCCGTGCAAAGATTCGCTCCGGTTTTAAGAGATTGGGGCGTATTTCACGGTGGTGTAACTCGGCGCACCCTTCGAGTCTCGAGCTCGTGATAGGGGCGTTGTGGTCGTAAGATTTGCACGGTCAGGTCGGCGAAGACAACCGAAAGACGTTTCAACACCAATATATACCGATTCACCTTGCGATACTGAAATAATGGTTGCGTGCATTCACAGCGCTGTAACTCTACTCGTCTCGGGAGTGTCGAGCTCGCGACAGGGGAATTGTGATCGAGAGACTGGTCCGCTCCAGCGGGCAAGACTGTGGAAAGATTTAGTCTAATGCGACCGCAGGCTGAAGCACCTAACAATCATCGTGCTTTTAGAGTGCAACGATGGTTGAACTCTTGCGCTTCAGGGCTCCGACATAATTGCAGTTGGGTTTACAAGTACTCCGGCCGGGGGCCTATCGGCCCCCCGGCGCTGAGACGGAAGTATTTTCGGTCGTATGCCATGCCTAGGGATGATGGCCAGGCCGATGCGGTGGCGTCGGCGTTGGCAGACATAGTCATTTTGTGGTACGAAAGGCGTTGGCATGTTGGCAGGAGGAGCCATTGGTTGTTAAATAAGAACTCCAGTGATGATTCAACCCAACAGGAGAAACAGGGCAAGTCCACAGGTGCGAGGAAAAAAACGCTAAGCAGCAGCATTGAGACCACTTCCCTGCGAAAAGGACGCGCCTTCTCGCAGAGAAGCAAACAAACGAACAAACACACGTTACGTGAAATTGCAAGGTCGATAAACCCAGAGAGTAGACTCTGGAGTGTACTAAAAAGGATATTCCCCGGAAATGCTACGTTTAACATCATCTACTAGTGGTTTGGTTGACACAGCACTAGCTGAGGAAACGACGCCCACTTGCAGCAACCAAACGAAATTCTGAAATAGCCGGAGAGGTTGTAAGCTCTCGTTCGTGTAAAATTTGAAAATCCTCATGATTTACTACTGTACGGCAGGCTCATAATACAGAGAGAACGATGTAATCAATGGGCGACGACGTGCACTGAACGCTCGAGAAGTTCGTAGTCAGTCGAGAAAGATTCGTCTTCTATTTTCGGAACCGCCGCCGCCGCCGTTGTTTGTTGGGAACTGCTGCTGCTGTGAGGGGTAGTATTTTCGTAGAAAAACAAAGCTATTGCCCCCCACGTTTCCAGACATTCGTGTTTTTGTGTCGTACGCCGCATGCAAAGGCGTGATAACAACAACAGCCGTTCATCCATACCCGCGTCATTCTCAGATAAAACAAAGTAGTAGAAATAATCAGCCGCGGAGCGAGCTAAGCGAGCGACATTTTTTCCCTTCGTCCCTAGAAGGGAAAAAAAGGCTCTATATATTGGCCAAAGTTGCGCTGCGCGATACAGGGCCCCCAGAACTTGGTTTCCGGGAAGCCTATTGGGCACACCTTTGGGACCAGAACGAGATCTATTGGGCACCGATTAACGATCTGTTCGCTTCTGAGGAAGAAAAAAGTAGCGTGCTCCTCTCCACACCGGTTTCGTCGCGCTCCGAGAGCAGACGGCCGTGCTTCACCGGCACATATAGCCTTTTTTGTTGAGAGATTTTGTTCCCCAACCCCGGGGTTTCTACCAGGAAAGGCGTGCACAATGGCGGAGATCGCGCGCGCGCTCTTTTCAAAACAGGACAACAAACACCGACATAGACGCAAGAACATCACCAATAAACGCATCAGCGCTGAGACGCTGTTCTAAGACCAGCTTTGAAAACAATGAGGGGCCGGGACTATACGACCTGTGCACCGTGGGTTTACTGTAGGCATGCGCCATGTGTAACCCGGCGGGTGTTTATTGATGTTGAGTGGGTCAACCAACTGCTTCAAAAAGAGCAGACCGATTATCACACAAATAACACACCTTCCCAAGTCCAGATCACACCTACCATCATCGAGAGAATCCGTCGAGGGCTACTCACATTTTTTTTTTTTAGGATCATATGGTACGACAGATCTAGGGTCGCGTAGTTTTTCTTCAAGCGATAACAGCAAGTATCGCCGATCGTTCTGTGTATCAGATAGCCATCCTACGTCAGTACCTTTCTATGCGCTCGAGACGCCGTCGGTGTATTTTCATGCCAATAAGCACACGGGGACGAGAAACAAAATCATTTTAACGTAACTGGAGCATGGGAGGCCGCCCTGACCTCGGCAATACAAGAGATATGATATTGTACTTCCGGCACATGACAGCCTAAACTCCCAGCGACACTAATTTATCATCCCCCACAGAACTCGGCCAGCCGTTCAAGTCTTGAGCTGGCGATCGGGGCGTTGTGGTTGGAGGATCGGCATGCTTAGGTCGGTAAAGACAGCCACGAAAATTGTGTTGACGCCATTTCAAATCAATGAACCGCACCACAATGGTTGCATTTTAAAATTCTGTATGCACCTCGGCTCGTCTTAGAAAGCTCGACGGACGCTTTGTGATCAATGGACTGGCACGCTCAGGAGGGGGAAGACGGCCGGTGACAAGCGGGAAAGAGACTGCGAACTGATGTACCTCGCGAACACGGCTTGCTTAACGAACGCACAACAATGTTTGAATCTGTTGGGTTCAGCGCTCACGAGGAATTGTAAATAACACAAGGTCATCGTTCGGAACGTACTGGTAGGTGTCAAGCATTCCAAAAGGAAGGGGGACCGTGTGTCTGGGTATTGATGGGCAGTTTTGTAACCATCGTACTCCGTACAGAACATCGTGAACGTAGCCAGCTCGGGCAGACAACTTGCCAGCAACAATTTTTTTTTTTTTTATTGTGATTGATGATGGCAGATTTCGATGATAACGTCAGTTGAATCCGAAGCAACACCACAATCAAAACATGTTCCAACACTCGGCTGCATGTGGTAAGACTTGCCTACGACAGCAAGCAGCACTTCGCGTGGCCCGCTGCGAAGTGTTAACGAACAATCGTTGGTACTGCTGGACATTTCGATTACACGAAGAGTCAGCGATGCGGAATCAGCGAATTAATGAACGTGGAGATGAACAAGCCAGGAGACAATGAATTCAACTGTCGTTTGATGGGTTTCAGATTTGGTTCGGCAGGCTTTGTCTGCGCGGAACGCTCCGCCGGGGTCTTGAGACAGTTTTCGCAACTTTGACCGCCAACCACACGCGCCACTGAGGCCTACCGAGCTCCGGGCACGAGCATTGGCACGAGCTTAAATGTACCGACGAGCCTCGTGCGTGCCGCTGAGAAGGAATCGCGAGAAAAGACTCGTTGCCGTGAGAGAAAAAAATGTACATCGGGAGTCCGGTGGATTGCCTCCCGGGGGCAAGGCAAGAAGACATGGCGAGTATTATCGCGATCGTTTCGTTGCATCTCAATCTCATTCAATCGGTATTGAGTGCCGATTTTACGTACAACCTGCAGATTTCGCCTGAAATTTTCATCGTGTGCGGGGCATATTTTTTCTCGCCGTGACCTTTCGTGTGAACGCGAGTGTGTGCTTTAACTTGAGGCTAGTGGCGTCTTTGCTGCAGGTCCTACTGCTGCATTCTGCTGCGTTTGATGACTCCCTCTCAAGTATTAATGTTGCCCACTGTCCGTGGGACTTGCGTGCACTGAGCCCGAACCAAACTCTTCTGTATTTGGCGGAGCAGTGTTTTTTTGTATTCTTGCCAAGACTTTCTCCACGCGGTTCACGTCCCCGGGGTATAGCGCCGGTTTGTTCGACTTTGGCCGTCAAACACACGCGCAACGGGTGGCTGGCGGTCTAAGGGCGTGCGGTGTAAGGTACCGACGACACCCTTGCATGCCCCTGAGAGGGGAGCGTGAGAAGCCAATCGCTTCCGCCAGCGAACGTGTCTGAAGCACGAAAACAGGCGAAATGGTACACATCCATACAAGGATCCCCTGCGGGAGTTAGGTGATTCGCCTCCCGGGGGCGACGCAAGAGGACATGGCCAATCAATGTCATCGCTTTCGCATGGTTGGTCGGCACGACGTTCGGTAGTGCCGGTTTACGCGCAACCTGCGTACTAATTTGCCTGGAAACTGCATCGTGTCGGGGTAGTTTGTGCTATTAGACAGCGGCGTCTTTGCTGCAAGTGGGTCCTACTGCTGTAATCCACTGCGTTTGATGACTTGCTCTTCTTGTGTGGTCCTTACTCCCATGGTCTGTGGGACTTTTTCAAACACTAACAACGAATCAATAGGCGCTCTACCTACCCACGAGCAGTCACAGATGTAGATTGCTACCGTACCACAACCACTTTATTTGAATTTTTCGATTTTTCGGAATTGAAATTCAACTGACGTCTGCTAGAGTTGTGCGAGAGGACTTATGTGTCACGTGGTAGGTTGCCATGAGCAGCATCAAGAGGCTTGGTCCCCCGTGCGGGTACGCATGCGCCAGCTGCTGTGTGGTAGGTGTGTACAACAATCACAGCAGCTGTGTGGACCTGTCGCGCGGTGCAAAAAAATGTTCTGTTTTCAGTGTTCATCCCAACAGAGGAGGCTCTTATGGTTCGGTTTTTCAACCCCTGCAAGAAGTGCCAGTCCCAGCGACTATAGGCGGCTCTAACGCGCACCAACGGTGTCTCGCGAGCCCCGCACGTAACGGGTAATGTACCGACGGTTCCTTTGCTTGCCATGCGAAAGAAATGGCGAGATATAACGGTGTCCCTGCGGAGGAAACCGAAGGCGAGCAGCCGAACAGACGAAATGCTACATATGCATGCAAGGTCCCCGGACTCGGGTTTTCACTTAACCATTTGCGAATCATTTGGTCGATTGACAATTCTATCTCTACTTGGAAGGGCGACGTCAACCGTTGTCGTTCTAACTTTCCAATTACGGTGGTATGACTCAAGGCCGGTAAATGTTAAAATATTTTGTTGGACCACAGGGCAGCCTCGAGTTTTGTTCCGGTAGGGGTATACGATGGTAGGTGGGCGTATCCAACGCGAGGCAGGGCCGTAGCAATCGAAAAACAGAATAATGGTGCGTGCCGATCGCGCTGATCACACTGAGTGTTACAGCCACACACATACGGTTTAACGTACATCATTCATCATTCGCATGAAAAGCTTGCAGGGAGACTACGTCACCTAAAAAATATGGTCATCATCGAAACAACAATTTGAACACAAGCAAGCATGGCGTGCAACAGCCAATACTCCCATGCCTTGACTATAATGCTACCTACCTTGCTATCCCTACTTGAAGGTTGCATTCTGACAAAATTGTATACTCTTCTATATCTGAGCAAACATGGGGTATTGCAGTTAGTTAGCTTTTCTTGCAGTAGGGAAGTCTAAAGCAGGAAAACAGAACATGGACGAGCCGTAAGCAATGAAAACATCAGGTGGTTATGTGAGTGTGTACAGTATAGTCAGCTAATCTAGTTGTCATGGTTCGAGTTGACGGTATTGAGGTGCAGGAGATGTACGCGGGGATCACGGTGCTGTAACTCGCCTCGCCCTTGGAGTCTCGAGCGCCCGACAAGGGGCGTTGTAATCGTAAGATTAGCACGCTCAGGTCTCGAAGACAGCCGCAACAGATGTATGGACACCATTTCAAGCCGATTCGTCACACTCCAACGTTCAGGTCAATGAGTGAAATATTGGTCGTGCCCATTCACGATGCTGTAACTCTACTCGTCGTTTGAGTCACGAGGTCGCAGCAGGGGAGATGTGATCGAGAGATTGGCGCGCCCAAATGGGCCAAGACCGGCGTCAGTGCTCGAAACATAGTTGGGTGTCTCCAGTGCCTCCGAAAATAAACATCCCAGAGCGGTGGGCAAAATCTTGATCATTTATAAACGTGTCCAACAAAACCTCGTTCGAAGAGCATGTGAACTTGATGTGAAACCTATCGCGACGTTGCGTTGAGGCACGTTCCGCGCTCCCACAGTTGTTGAGGTCGGGAGTTGCTATTAGGTTGGGAAAATATATTGAACTACATGCGTAAAACGGAAAAAGCAAATCAACGTGCTTCAGTTGTTGGGACGATCAACCTCCGCGCTCCGAGCCGTGATGGAGATGATCGGGGTTTGGGGCTGCTGTTTATTCGGGATGCCGTGCATGTCGTCCATGTGTATTGAAAGCCTCGGTCTGAGTTGTTTGTGCCTGACCTTCGGTTGCACCAATCCACAGCGCCCGGCGCCATACTGCTGAATGAAGACAACGGAATGGATCTTCACTTGCGCCTGCTTCGGACTTGACAACAAACCTATGCTGGCTATTTGTGCCTTGCCACTGGTACTCTCTTCCAAATGGCGTTGTGACACGATGCGTTGTGTTGACACGCGTCACTCTCCTTTTTTTTACTCTAGGCTCAACTCGCAGACGCCATGTTTCACATTCCTTATCTCCCCGATAAATCGTGTATGCCTACCCAGGACGCTGGCATCTACCTGGCATCACCCTACACGGCTGCGGCATCGGCCATCACGGGTTATGTGACGGACCCTCGCGAGGTGTTCGGGTTCGATCAGGACAAGCGTTGGGCCATTGAGGATATTTTGACCGACAGTGCCCGTGTGGAGGGCTAGGAGATGCATCTCGCTTGATTGTGACTAACCCGAAAGACGGGATCGGCGCAAAATGATAATAGTGCTGGTGGAGAAAAGCCCACCGCGATCAGGTTGCCTTTGTATGTCCTTCACGCACCATGTCGATGCGTGTTGACCTCTGTGACTGTGATTCCTCAGAGGACACGAGCGCAGCTGATTAACCGCTGCTGCCTTAAAAGTGATCGTTCTCTCTGGACAGTTGCGTGCCTGCTTTATTATGTGCATACAAGGCGCCCTATGGAGTGAGGTAAAGGGAGCACCGCGGCAGGGGGTGATGCAAGAACATGCTAAAAGCAAACGCCGATGTAGGTCATTTATTTGCCGTGTTTCTGGATGCTGCGTCGCCCACCGCCGCAGATTCCAGGCCGCCAAACGACGTGAACTTCATCAGAGTCGTTTTGTCGCTCAGGGAACGCACACACACAACCTCGCCACAGGCCGGCGGAGAAGCTTGTATTCCCGCGTTTAGTATGCAAACAGTATGTTGCAGGGCAGTGACAGTAGCATCATGGCGTGTGTCTCACATTCCAGAGAAAAGAAGGGGCCACATGGATGTGGATGGATCTATCTTTTGTGAAGGTGGGACGGATCGAAAGTGAATCCACTGACAAGAGCAGCGCTTTCAAACATTCGAAGAAAGTTGTGAGCACCACAGCCAAACAATGACGCACTGACCCACCACGACGGGGAGGAAACAACTTCAAGTACACGGGTGGTGATAGGATTTTTTTTTTCGAAACGAACTAACCTGGGTCCAGAACTATGTAATCAGTACTCTTGTCCCACGGTCATATGCATACAACGTAGTTGTATGTTCGGTCCAACGTTCCGACTTGACGCAAGCCGTGCTGCAGCGGATCTTGCGTGCGTGAGCAATTGTTTGCTACAGTTTATACCCCAAGCAGAATTTGCTTGCCTGAGCCTCACGAAGGGTAAGAGCCAGGGAGGTGTAATCATGCAATATGAGCAGCCAAGACCCGAGCTGCGAAACAGAACAGCAGCAGCAGCACATCGGCACAAACGCGGGGGTCGATGACAGCAGTAGAAATGAGAAAACCAACATAAGGCCGCGGGTGTTGTTCTGAGGTGAAGACAGGGTGAATGAGACCCCCCTAAAGTCAGCTAACCCCGCACCATCAGTCAGCCGCGCTTCGATCGAGCCAAAACGACGTCCCACCGCTTCGATCGCTAGGCATTACTTGAGTGGCCTACCTGCTTCTTTACTAAGCGGTTAAGACCTTTCTCGCGGGCGGGCGTGTTCGTTGTGTTCCTCCAGCGTGGGCAACCAACGTGAGTACAGACGTGAGCGTTTTAGAAACTGCTGTACTGTAATACGGAGACCTGTGACCAAGCAAAAGGTTTTCCCCCGTAGGCGACCGCCGAAAACGCCGAATTCCGACAAACGTCGCCGAAAAAAAACTGTCCCCGAAAACCAAAAGGAGCGCCGTTTTTGGAGGGGGCTCCGCCGATCATGGGTCGAGGTCGCCGATTGAGGAGTATCCAGAAACGGGTATACCCGGATAGATTATCACCATTTCAGGGTACACTTGGAAATGAAGACGACACCAATCTCCGACTAGGCCTTTGCTCCATCTGCCGTTTTTTTTATTTTTCGACCCCTTTTTTTCCTTTTTCGGCCCCTTTTTTTATTTTTCGGCCGCCCTGATGTTTTTTCGGCCGCCTCAATTTTTTTCGGTCACCACAAATTGTGCACTTTTCTTCTCGGCCGTAGCCGTTCATGTACGATTTTACCAAACTATTGCGCCTCGCGCATCATCCTTCTCCTGTAACCTATCTATGCTTGTTGCTGTGTTATTGGTACATATAGACCAGTGACCCCCACCAGTACACTGGTAGGTATCCTCTGTTGAGCAGGGCCGGTATCCTATTGAGGCGGTGCCCATGAATGATGAACGAGCGAGCGTTGTTGGTGGTTTGGTTGTGGTTATGTATGTGTGGTACACGGAAAGTTTGTGCGGTACACGTTTTTTTCTGCGGGTTTTATGCTAGAGCGTCGGGCGCCGGGATTATTTGACCATTTCTGGGTACAAAAATGACCTCTTCCGGGTACACCAGTAGTAACCACGATCGGTCACACCAGAGGGTCCTAATTCCAGCGGAGGTGGTACCTGGTGGAGGTTTCCTCAGAAATGGGTACAATGGTTTTTCGGCCAATCAACTGACAGCCTGGGGGTGCAAGCGTGTTGAGTTCTAGCTGTACCCTAAATAAAGTGGTGATAAAGTACCCGGGTATATACCCGTTCTGGTTATTGGTCCGCCGGTTCTCGCCGATCTATTTCACGGTGCCCCATGCTTGCGACCCCCTGGAGAAAACAGCTTGACACTCACACACCAGACAAGTCGATGCAAAAGCCAGGATCCGCCCTCGAAGATCGAGCCGTAAGGCAAATCACTATGCGGGAACTTTCAACCCGTCTAGATCTACCCTCCTTACTGCTGCACTTTCAACGAAATTGGTGGTCTTGGCAAAGGCACCAATCGACTCATCGTTGCTATCGCCAACCACTTGGCGCACGAAGCTTTTTGCCGGGGAAATTTTGACGACGAAAGAGCGTTAGTCCACCTGAAAGCTTCTCATACTTAAAGGATTCGGAGACGGTTTACCTTCGAGCTAGCTCGTTTTCTGTCCATGCGAACTCGCGATGTGTTCAAACGTCATGAGCTACTGATCGACCAACTTCCACCAGGGCCAATCGGTTGGGATCTCTGCGACAACGATAGTAGTGAGGGTAATTAATTATTTTGGGAGTGACGGAGACGAAGGAACGATAAAGGGAAGAAAGGAGGACGAAGACGACGAGTGAGGAGGAAAACATGGAGGAGTGGAAGAGAGCAAAGGGTTTGAGCCAGATGACCTTCCCCAAAACAAAAAACGTAGGACTAGGGAAGAACTGCCCTGAGATTCGTGTCAAAATGAGGATCAGAATGATGGTAGCGAAAACAAGGAGGATAATGGTGAAGGTACTCCTACCTAAACGGACTCGAGTACTAGGTAATAGCCTTGGTAGACGGGTGCAGTTTTCTTCTGTTGCTGCTGTTTCTGTCTTTGATCCGAAGGATAGTTTAGCCTCCCCCATGCTCCCCCCTCACGGGGTCCCAATTCATCGCAGATGAAAGTGTTTTTTTGTGTTTTCATCCGCGCTGAGACTGACGTCTTTTCATTGGTCAGCCGGTTAGCGCGGTCTATGCTAGTAATAAAAACACACACGGCTACACACACACACAGCTGAACGGCGGTGCGGTGCCGTCGCCTCTTACCGGTATGGAAGCCTACTCTGGTGGTCGTGATGGGAAAATAGGAGTGGCGACGAGGATTCTGACAAGGAGGAGGAGGTGCAATTCGTCGGTCGAACGACAAAGTAAGTGCCCCCGCTGGTTCTGATGCCGACAGCGGCGGCGGCGGCGGCGGCGGTAGCGGCAGTGCCACACCCCCTGCTGCCGGTGCCCGGGATCCAACACGGGTCTCTACAGCTGGTTCAGCTTCTTCTAGCAGCACCAGTGCCTCTGCACTCCAACGTACGTAGCGCTGGTGGCACCATTTCTGCAGCTGGTTCATCTACTACTTCTTCTAGCGGCAGTGCCTCTGCACGTCAACGTAACGCTGCTGGCACCACTTCCCCGGACATTCCAGAATCGATGCCGCAAGGTGCTCCCGTTCGTCAAGAGCAAGGTGATCAAGGGTTTTTTGAAGGAAAAGGAAGACTACCTCATGACGGCCAGTGACACAGACATCGAGTACGGCCACATGGCGTTATGGAAGGACAACAAGAAAAATGGCTGCCTAAAGTGCTACAGTGCCGGCCCGCACTTAAGGACCTCCTATATTGGGCGAGGCTCAGTTCTTATTGGCTGCCTCAACCCAAGCACCTGTTCTTATTTGCCAAATTCTTACTTCGTCGTCCATTCTTCTCCAGAAAGGGGCGTTCTTGTTGTTACAGTATGTTCACATCATTTCCTATATTGTCGGCTGTCAACCATAAGCAACACTAGTAGCACTGCTGTCTATACAAGAAAACACCAAGGCATGGAGCAGCAACTGTCAACCTTCTTGGTTAACAAGGGTGACGTTGGTCCTGCGTACCCTTCCTGATCTACTAATGCTCTCAAGCGAAACCGCAAGGGGGAACACTGAAAATGAAACGTGTCCCTTGCAAGTAGAGTGACAAGTTGATGACCGACTTCCTCGCCAAAATTCCCATGCATCCAGGTGACAACGGCAAATACCGGAAATACCGAAATGCCGTCAAAATTCCACTGAACCAGAAGTCTACCCTTCAAAGAGTCAGCCAAGAATGCACATGAAGGAGCGCACACGCNGTTGATGACCGACTTCCTCGCCAAAATTCCCATGCATCCAGGTGACAACGGCAAATACCGGAAATACCGAAATGCCGTCAAAATTCCACTGAACCAGAAGTCTACCCTTCAAAGAGTCAGCCAAGAATGCACATGAAGGAGCGCACACGCAGCCATTCGTCTGAGCTACTCCCCCACCTCTCTTGATTTTCGGAGCTAGCCTGCAATTCGGAGCCAGCCGTTGTGCGATACGTAATAATCTCCGTTAGGATTTGAGGAGGACGGAGTCTAAAGCTGTAGAGGAGCACTGCGCCTGTTCGCTCCTTGCTACTGCTGCTTGAGACTGACTTGGCGGGCCCGCCAAAACTCCGACAGGTACGAACAAACTCCTTTGCGTGTGGTCGAAGATGGACTGCGTCTTTGTACAAGCCCAACATGCCACCATGCACAACATACTGCTGCTGCCGTTCAACTGTCGCCGCCCTTCCACGTCTACCTGTCCATGACGCATGCTGCCACTTGATGCGACANGATTTTCGGAGCTAGCCTGCAATTCGGAGCCAGCCGTTGTGCGATACGTAATAATCTCCGTTAGGATTTGAGGAGGACGGAGTCTAAAGCTGTAGAGGAGCACTGCGCCTGTTCGCTCCTTGCTACTGCTGCTTGAGACTGACTTGGCGGGCCCGCCAAAACTCCGACAGGTACGAACAAACTCCTTTGCGTGTGGTCGAAGATGGACTGCGTCTTTGTACAAGCCCAACATGCCACCATGCACAACATACTGCTGCTGCCGTTCAACTGTCGCCGCCCTTCCACGTCTACCTGTCCATGACGCATGCTGCCACTTGATGCGACAATATCTGGGAACAACACGGACACAGGGAGTACTCCCCCTACCCATACACACACCGTCAAAATTGAACAACCTCTCATTCCTCCCTTTCCACATACACCTGATGTAGATGCATGATATGATACACTCTGTCTTTACTTATGGTCTGCGCTGTCTACAAATGGGAAAGGTAGCCATACGTTCTGCAGACACACGGGCGAAAGAGGTGACGATACCCACTGCATTTAACACACACCCACATGTCGGTGATGAAACCTCAACCACACGCCTCTCGAGTCTGTCGGCGGCCGCGTCAGGAGGCAATGATGCGATAATGTTCTCCCGTGCCCTTCGCACATTTAATGACGTGCAACTGCACAACACCGTCCCGCATATGCTCCATACATCAGACACAAAAAATATGTTGATGACGAAAATATACACACCCCGAGACGCGCTTGCTCCGCAACCACATAAGGGTGCTATAATTGAACAC